GGTTAGGTGCGGGGGCCGTTGGCTCCAGACAAATAAACATGGAGTCCATCTTCCACGAGAAAGTGAGTGTCCGCGTTCGGTGGGGGAGCTGTCTGCAGCATTCTGGCGGGCGTGGGGTGAAGTATCGCTGCCTCCTGTAGGGCTGGGTGGGGCCTGAGTCGCCCCCGTCCGCGTCTCTGGACGAGGGGCACTGCTTGAGCCGCCTGCCTCCTCGGCCGTGGAGGGGAGCTTCACCGTCGCCTCCCCAACATCCTCCGACCCACAGGCCCCTGCGGGAGGAGCCGGACTGGGACGCCCGAAGATTCGGGAGAGGCTGTGGGCAGGGCCGGGGGCTCCTCGGGACATGAGAGGCGGTGCCGCACCGTGTAGGTCTGCGTCTGCGTTCCTCCGCCACTTTCCGTAACCTTTGCGGAGGACCCCCTTTTCTCTTCCGTTCTCCCTCAGGTTGTAGCCGGAGTCACCTCTCGGAAACCTCCCCCAGCCCTTCTCAACTCCACCCCATTTCCTCACTCCCACCCTTGGCGGAATTAACTTTTCCTGCTCCGGGCTCCTCAGTTCTATATTGGAATCTCCCACACACTTGGATCTTTGGGGTTGTGTACCTCTCTTCCTCCCGCGCTAGATCCGTCAGGCTCGCTTGGGCGGGGACCTTGGCTCGCCTGTTTGTAGGACCTGACGCTTGGGGAAGTGAGGGAGGAAATCCCGTGCGCCCCTAAGCCGCGAAGTCAGCCGTCACAGAGTTTTTGTTATAGGAAGTGTGGACTTGGTTTCTTCGCTGTGACGGTCTTTCCGCATCTGGAGTAATGTTGGTGTGGTCCGCCTAACCAGTTCTTGCTTCGATTTTTCAATGGCCAAGTACTTGAAGATACCGTTTGTGTTATGTGGGGAAGCTTGTCTTTTTTTCTCACACATAATTATCAAGCCGTTTGGGTGTGAGTGAAACCTGCCTTTGGACAATTTTGACAGATAATCTTGTTTCATGATAGTTTCATGTTTGGAAAGGGTTGCTGTGAGGCTGTTATTTAATTTAGCAGGCACAAAGCGTGGGGATTGTATTCAATACCTGTGAGTGGTCGATTGCCCGAGGCGTTTTTAAACACACGAGATGATCAAAAACGAGATATGGTGACTTATGATACAGATCTAAACAAATTGTCCAATGGGATACTTTTATTTATTTATTTAATTGTGATTTGGGTGAAAGTTTACGGAGCAAATTCACTTTCCATACAGCAGTTCACACACAGTTACCTCATGACATTGACTACAGTTTACCCCAATAAACAGCTCCCCTCCCACTTCCTCCCCATAGTTACCTCTTCCTGTGTCCACTCCTGCCCCCTGAGCTGTTTCCCTGTGCATAAGCAGCCCTTCCTTCTCCCATGATTGTTCTCTCCAAGGAGTGTATCTACCTCAGGTACATGTTCAACTCACCATGCCTGTCTTTTGTTTGGAAGCCACAGGGGTGGGTTCAATTCCAGACCTGAAGGGCAGCTGGGTAGGCCATAGTCTCAGTGGTTCCACAAGGCTCTATCAGACCAGCAAACCTGGGCCCCTCCCCTTTTTTTTTCAAATGATTTTGAGTTTTGTTCCACATTGTTTTCCATCTTTATCCAGGATCTCCTACATAGATCTCCCTCTGAGTGGTTGACAGTGGTAGCCGGGCACCATCTGGTTCTTCTGGTCTCATAGTCGTATAGGCTGAGGATCGCATGGTGTACTGGTTACGAGGACTAATTGTTTCCATGAATCTTTAGTTTTCTTCACTCTTCCCTGCTCCAGACGAGGAGAGACCCATCGTTGCGTCCAGATGGCCTTTTGCAAGCTTTCAATATCCCAGTCTCTACTTGCGAAAGTAGGAGGTGGAACGGTGTTTTGTGTAGTATGTTATGCCAGTTGAGCTTGATGTCCTGTTCCCTGTGACTATGATCCTGGGCCCACAGGTTCAACTACTCACTCCCTCTGGGTAGGTGGCTGTGGCCAAGAAGTGACTACACCTTGTTGCTTGTCAGCTCTTCTATACCCCTGGGAATTCTTACAGAACATACAAATATACTTGTAGAACCAGTCTGCCAACCCTATACATGGTCTTGGGTATACTCCCTGCTGCATAGACATACCTAATAGTTCAGCCTGCCCACTCTCTATCCACCTGTATACCCGTGTTTGCCTTCGCTGACAACGCCGTCCTGTATGTGCAAAAGGGTTCATCTTTGTTGTCTGCACCTCCCATGTACCTCTCTATGTCTTCCTTTTTCTCACTTTCACCATGTTGATCACTCAAATTTGGTACATTGCCCTTCTCTTCACCGAAATCAATACTTATCTCTCCCTATTTAAGTGTTCCCTCTCCTCGCCTCCTACCCCTGGTAACCAACAAAGAAAATTTCCTTCCATGTAGAAACCTTTCCTTGAATTTTTACAATAATGGACAATGGAATATTTATCCTTCTGTAATTGACTTATTTCACTCAGCATAATGTCCACTTTTCTTTAGAGAAAACATTTCAGGAAGTTTTGCAACTGGCCTTGGCTGATTTTTATGTGTGGGGAGAGGAAGGACTCCTAAACTTTTGACTGGATTGACATGCTCTCTGACTTGGACTTGAGTTTTAGCTGCCTGGCTAAGGAGACTGGGTAAAGAGAACTTTGCATGAAATTGTCAAGGCTTTGGTGTTGGATCAGATGTTTCCACATAGAAGACTTTAAACATTTTCACACACCACTTCATGTAGCGCATTTTTAACAATTTTTATTGTTACCTAAGGAGCTCTAGTGGCACAGTGGTTAAGACTGCTAACCAGAAAGTTAGTGGTACAAACCCACCAGCTGCTCTGTAGGAGAAAGATGAGGCAATCTCCTTCTGTAAAGATTTACAACCTTGGAAACCCTATAGGTTCAGTGAAGATAACTTTGGGACCATGGGACCAAAGGAAGCTAGGGCCCTAGCCTATTGAAAATTACTCTGGTAGCACAGTGCCTAAGGTGTCTGACTGCTAACCAGGAGGTTGGTGGTTCAAACCCACCAGCTACTCTGTGGAAGCAAGACTGAGCATTCAAATTCCATAAAGATTTACCACCTCAGAAAACCAATGGGAGGCACTGTTGAGTCGGAATCAACTCGATGGCAGTGGGTTTTTTTTTTTTTAAAGTCACTCTCAACATGTAGAAGTTTAAAGATTAGAATGCCTGCGCCAGCACAGATGCTTCAGGGAACTGTTTGCTCTTACCGCTGTCAATTTGTATGTACCTGGCAAATAAAAGCTTTTAAAGTTCTCAGACATCTTGCAAGAGTATGGAAAGCACATGTAACCATAAGGCCCATCCTTAATCTCCTATACTCCCCTCTCCCAGAACACCCCACACCCATCCACAAGCACACATCTGTAATCTGTGCTTGACCCTGGGTGGGAACATTGGTGGTTTATTGGTGGAATATTCTTGCCTTCCTTGCAGCAGGCCTGAATTCAGTTCCTGTCAGTGCCCCTGGGGTGCAGCCATTACCTGTCAGTGGTGGTTTTTGTGTTGCTCTGGACTTCCAGACTAAGATGGACTAGGAAGAAAGGCCTAGTGATCTCCCTCAAAAAAATCAGCCAGCGAAAACTCAGTAGATCACAAAGATGTGTCCCGCAGCCGTGGGGATGGCACGGGACTGGGCAGCCTTCCGGTCTGCTGTGCGTGGGGGCACCATGAGTCTGGGGCCAGCTGGATGGCAGCTAACAACAGGCCCTGGGTTTGCAGAGTCAGAGAACCAGCTTAGACCATTTGGCTGCTAACCAGAAATCAGGTGTTCAAACCTGCCAGCTGCTCTGTGGGAGAAAGATGAGGCAATCTACGTAAAGATATACAGCTTTGGAAACCCAGTGGCGGTTGCTATGAGTCAGCATTGACTCAGTGGCAGTGGGCTTGGTTTATTGGCGTGAGTACCTTTTACTAAGTTAGAAGGTAAACGGTTGTTCCCTTGTGTATCCCCAGTGCCATAGTGCCTTGACCCATAATAGGTAGTCCAGATATTTGGATTAATCAAGCAAGTTCCTCGAGCACCTGAGATGGATATGGTGCTTTATACCTAAAGTAAATAACTTTTTCTGTATAAGAGGCCAGATAGTAAATATTTTAGACTTTGCAGGCCACATAAGGTCTCTGTCACATATTCTGTTTTGTTTTCCAACCAATTTAAAAATGGGAAAACCATTGTTAGCTACTGGGGCAAGTCTAATCTGGTGCACAGCCTGTAATTTGCTGAACTCTAACGGGAGCCCTGGTGGAGCAGTGGTTTAGTGTTCTGTTCGCAGAGAAAAGAAACTGTACTATGTTCCTGTAAAGATTACAGCATAGGAAACCCTGTGGGGACGTTTTCTCATACAGAGTCACTGAATCAGACTCTACTCGAGGGAACACAACCACCGTCTAAACCCCAATCCTAAGTGGCTACTTACTGCTGTTTCGTTCTGTTTTGGTTCCATTGACTCTTTTCTTTCATTTTTGTTAACACTTCCATTGCTGACTGGTCTTGGTGCAGACATTGCACCACCTGAATTTAGTACTTTTAACGTAATGGGAGGAGCTCTGGTAGCATATTGCTTAAGGCACTTGACTG